TTTAGCCCGAAAAAAACGACATAGTATAGTCAGGGTTTTTTTTATCGTTTTTTTCGGACTAAAAACGCCTTACTATACATGGTCGTTTTTTTCGGCTAAAAACGCCTTACGATACATGGTCGTTTTTTTCGGCTAAAAACGCCTTACGATACATGGTCGTTTTTTTCGGCTAAAAACGCCTTACGATACATGGTCGTTTTTTTCGGCTAAAAACGCCTTACGATACATGGTCGTTTTTTTCGGCTAAAAACGCCTTACGATACATGGTCGTTTTTTTCGGCTAAAAACGCCTTACGATACATGGTCGTTTTTTTCGGCTAAAAACGCCTTACGATACATGGTCGTTTTTTTCGGCTAAAAACGCCTTACGATACATGGTCGTTTTTTTCGGCTAAAAACGCCTTACGATACATGGTCGTTTTTTTCGGCTAAAAACGCCTTACGATACATGGTCGTTTTTTTCGGCTAAAAACGCCTTACGATACATGGTCGTTTTTTTCGGCTAAAAACGCCTTACGATACATGGTCGTTTTTTTCGGCTAAAAACGCCTTACGATACATGGTCGTTTTTTTCGGCTAAAAACGCCTTACGATACATGGTCGTTTTTTTCGGCTAAAAACGCCTTACGATACATGGTCGTTTTTTTCGGCTAAAAACGCCTTACGATACATGGTCGTTTTTTTCGGCTAAAAACGCCTTACGATACATGGTCGTTTTTTTCGGCTAAAAACGCCTTACGATACATGGTCGTTTTTTTCGGCTAAAAACGCCTTACGATACATGGTCGTTTTTTTCGGCTAAAAACGCCTTACGATACATGGTCGTTTTTTTCGGCTAAAAACGCCTTACGATACATGGTCGTTTTTTTCGGCTAAAAACGCCTTACGATACATGGTCGTTTTTTTCGGCTAAAAACGCCTTACGATACATGGTCGTTTTTTTCGGCTAAAAACGCCTTACGATACATGGTCGTTTTTTTCGGCTAAAAACGCCTTACGATACATGGTCGTTTTTTTCGGCTAAAAACGCCTTACGATACATGGTCGTTTTTTTCGGCTAAAAACGCCTTACGATACATGGTCGTTTTTTTCGGCTAAAAACGCCTTACGATACATGGTCGTTTTTTTCGGCTAAAAACGCCTTACGATACATGGTCGTTTTTTTCGGCTAAAAACGCCTTACGATACATGGTCGTTTTTTTCGGCTAAAAACGCCTTACGATACATGGTCGTTTTTTTCGGCTAAAAACGCCTTACGATACATGGTCGTTTTTTTCGGCTAAAAACGCCTTACGATACATGGTCGTTTTTTTCGGCTAAAAACGCCTTACGATACATGGTCGTTTTTTTCGGCTAAAAACGCCTTACGATACATGGTCGTTTTTTTCGGCTAAAAACGCCTTACGATACATGGTCGTTTTTTTCGGCTAAAAACGCCTTACGATACATGGTCGTTTTTTTCGGCTAAAAACGCCTTACGATACATGGTCGTTTTTTTCGGCTAAAAACGCCTTACGATACATGGTCGTTTTTTTCGGCTAAAAACGCCTTACGATACATGGTCGTTTTTTTCGGCTAAAAACGCCTTACGATACATGGTCGTTTTTTTCGGCTAAAAACGCCTTACGATACATGGTCGTTTTTTTCGGCTAAAAACGCCTTACGATACATGGTCGTTTTTTTCGGCTAAAAACGCCTTACGATACATGGTCGTTTTTTTCGGCTAAAAACGCCTTACGATACATGGTCGTTTTTTTCGGCTAAAAACGCCTTACGATACATGGTCGTTTTTTTCGGCTAAAAACGCCTTACGATACATGGTCGTTTTTTTCGGCTAAAAACGCCTTACGATACATGGTCGTTTTTTTCGGCTAAAAACGCCTTACGATACATGGTCGTTTTTTTCGGCTAAAAACGCCTTACGATACATGGTCGTTTTTTTCGGCTAAAAACGCCTTACGATACATGGTCGTTTTTTTCGGCTAAAAACGCCTTACGATACATGGTCGTTTTTTTCGGCTAAAAACGCCTTACGATACATGGTCGTTTTTTTCGGCTAAAAACGCCTTACTATACTATGTCGGTTTTTTCGGGCTCAAAACAACATCTGTATAGGAAGGCATTTTTCGCTGGAAAAAACGACCATGTATAGTAGGGCATTTTTAGCTGGAAAAAACAACCATGTATAGTAGGGCATTTTTAGGCCCCCACAAAACGACCATGTATAGCAAGGCGTTTTTAGCCGGAAAAAAGGACCATGTATAGCAAGGCGTTTTTAGCTGGAAAAAACGACCATGTATTGAAAGGCGTTTCTAACCGAAAAAAAACACCATGTATAGTCAGGCGTTTTTGGCCGCAAAAAACGACCATGTGTAGGAAGGCGTTTTTTTCTGGAAAAAACGACCATGTATAGTAGGGCGTTTTTAGGCCCCCACAAAATGACCATGTATAGCAAGGCATTTTTAGCTGGAAAAAAGGACCATGTATAGTAAGGCGTTTTTAGCTGTTCAAAACAACCATGTATATAGTAAGGCGTTTTTACCAGCAAAAAAACTACCATGTATATTCAGGCGTTTTTAGCCGAAAAAAATGACCATGGATAATAAAGCATTTTTTTCACCAAAAAAGATAACCGGGTATAGTAAGGCATTTTTTGCCCCCCAAAAAATGACCATGTATATCGAGGCGTTTTTACCAGGAAAAAAAACCCTACCATGTATAGTTGTATACTCAACATGTTTTTTGCCGAAAAAAAACGACCATCTATTGTAAGGCGTTTTCACCAGCTAAAAAACGACCACGTATAAGTAAGCAGTGTGCGTGCAATCATACTCACATCTCCCTTTCGCACATAGTCGGGGTCTTTGTAGATGTCCCTGGCCAGGCCAAAGTCGCAAATCTTCACCACTTTGTTGTCGGACAGCAAAACATTTCGGGCTGCCAGGTCTCGATGAATGCACTGAAGTGGGTGGAGTCATGAAAAAAATAAATAAAATAAAAAAACAGTTGCGTGTCCCATGGCTTGAAAGTCTCAGACCTTGCGGGACGCCAGGAAGTTCATTCCTCGCGCCACCTGGAAGCTGAAGGAGATGAGATCCTCCAGGAATAACGGAGAGTTTGTGTCTGCATCGTCTGTCAGAAATTTACTGAGTCAGAATATTACATACTGCACCTAACTACTACTAATACAAATAACCGGCGGCTATAATCACCTGCTGTGTTATTTCTTGCTGGCTGGATATCACAACTCGGCTCTCCGGACTTTCTTCTGGACACCTGGAGCACCGAATATTAAAATGGAAAAATGATATTACAATGAAATTAAAAAAAAAAAAAAAATTACATATAAATTAACATGAAGAAGAATAAAGTGCATGAAAATTGAAATAAACGTTGATCGCATCTTTTACACTTCGACCGCACACGCTCGCAATCTCACCCCAAACACGCCTCGTTTGCTCTTCAGGAAGCTGGACAGGTTTCCATGGCGACAGTACTCCACAATCACCATCAGAGGACCTGCGATGCAAACATTTGCATCTGAACTCCAACCGGGATGCGAAAACCCAATCTGAAACTTAGTCCCAATACGAACAGCATTTTTGGATCCTAAACCCGTCTCATCCTGAACGTAATGCCAAAGTGAGTCTCAACACAACCCAAACCGCATCCAATTTGAATTCCAACCAGGATCCAAATTGTTAATCCTGATCTGAGGCAAACCCAGTGCGGGCGCTCCCTCGAATTCTAATCTTGATCCACTTCATAACACCGACCAAGATCCGAATTCCAACACCAATTTTGAGCCTTGCCCAAATCTAAATCGCAACCCTAATCCTGATCAAAATCTGAAACATAACCACAACCCAAATCCAAAACCAGCAAAATCCGAAACCTACCCCTTAACTCAGCACTAGCCCGTATCCCAATCCTACACCTAAAGCCAACCAGAATTTTAACCCCATGTCAAATGCTAACCCTTGTCCCAATCTGAACTCAAACCGCAATTTTGAATCTCAGCTCTGATCCCAAAACCCCAACACCACTTCCTGGTTCCTAACCCTAACTACAATCCAAATCCCAGCCCCCCCAAATTGAACCTAAACATAAAGCTGAGCATGGAATCTTAATCAAAATCTGAATACTAACACTCAACCTAAAACTAAATCTAAATCTCAATCTACCCCTTGTCCAGTATGTCATCACGATCATCCACAAACCTCCCGGCTTGGTGCAAGCTCCCAGTAGGTTCACAACATTGAGATGGTGTCCGATATAGTTGAGGATTTTCAGTTCGGTCATCAGGGCTTTGTGCTCGCTGACTGTGGCGCCCTCTGGTGGATGGGAGGGGAAAATAAAGTGTTTAAAAAAATAAATAAATACAATTGAATGGATTGTAGAACTTGCAAAAGCTGTTTTGAACCTTTGAGCATCTTAACGGCAACCGTCCTGCAGCCTGAAGCGTTGCCCATCCCAAACGCCGACGCCTGCACCACTTTCCCAAAGGCTCCGCGACCCAAATTCTTGCCTGGATGGGCGGAAGGGACATGACACTTATTCTCGCCCATCCTGTAAAGTGAGCGTCTGATAAGACGAAACTTTGGACCTCATCAGGAGAACATTGGACTGAACACCACCCTTTGCGGGCTGATTAGTGTCAGTAAACACCCGAGCGCTGCTCTCTTAATTAGCCGGCCCCGAGACAATACAACCTCTGATTAATGGAACGAGAGTCCCTCCCGAATGATCATTTGATAAGAACTATGAGAAAGTCGGCGTATCGCCGATGCCATCTTAATACATCCTCTGCTTAACATTCCTGGAAGCAAGCAAACAAGAGAAATCAAGACGTTTAGTTTTTATCGATAAGCCGCGCCCGTACCTAATTTGAGACCCTCTCGAGGGAACTCCCACCGGTTGGGATCATACTGGAGTCGCTCGCATCGCTGCTCCGCGGGGCCGTCTCCCGCGTCCAGTATGATGGACAGGTACTCGGCTTTGTTCTGGGAGTTGTCAGGCTGCACAAGGGAGGTAACGAGTGATCAAAAAGGCAGAGGGGGGCTTTGAGTTGGAACATTTCTTTCAGCTTGTCCCCCCCTCACCTGTCGTAGTTTTCGAATCAGGAGCGTCAGGAGAAGCCAAAGGAAAGTGGCCACCACGCACGTGCACGCCAGAGTCGGAATCTCCATCGACGGACTTTCGGCTGCACCTGACGTGAACGTGTTCATTTGGCGACTGAAGCAAACTGCTCTGTATCGAATAGAAAAACGGTGAGTGCTTACCATTGACCCAAATGTAGGCGGAGCTCTCCGCAGACCCCTTTTGGTTGCTGGCCCGGCATGTGTACAAGCCTTGGTCCTCCACGGTGATGCGGTCGATATGGAGGGAGTCCTCTTCCGGGGATACGGCGATACCTGCGGATGATTTGGAAATCAAAAGTAAAGAAAAGAACCGCATTTCAACATCATGTGATGATTTATTCTTGATTTGTTTTACCAGATCCGGCCGACAGAACGCATTTGTTCTTGTACCAGGTGACAGTCGGACGCGGGACGCCCTTGGTGGGACAGCGGAGGGTCACCGAGCTGCTAACGTTCACTGTCCAATCCGTCAAATTGTTGAGCAGCACGGCAGGCTCCAGGACTGACCGGAAAAAGAGAGGCAGTGTTACATATGGATGCAAATCGAACCTCCCCTTCCTCACCCCTAAATTCATCCTTGTCTTCCATAACCCAAACCCAAATTTCGCTCTTACCTCACCTTGGACACAGGCGCAAGCAGATGCACGCGATATTCAAAATGAAATGCTTTCAGACTCTGATGATCAGTTAAAAAATAAAAAAATCTGTTTCAACGTGGTTTGGTGCAATGGTTGGGGACTCATAACACACTTTGTAGCCACCAGGGGGCAGTGCAGGCAAGTCTTAAGACGCCCGCCATAAATACAGACACGTATATGCTATCGCTAAATTGAAATCCCCTCAAAATGCTGTGCCTAACTTGATAGAATAGAGATATCACAGTTCCTTTTGCTGCTAATAGGCGTCCGCCTGTACTCTATACTCGATAAAACCTCAAATTGTATGTACACAGCAGTATATCGTGTAGTCAAGAAAGAACTGGTTGCATCAAAACAACAAATGCCGCCGACACCAACAACCAAACTATTCTGCTCACTTCTTACTTTAGAATTAAGCTAAAGGAAGTGGACTTTTTTTTTCCCGCCCCTCACTGGTTACCCACTGTGTGCGGGTAGTGATTCCCCGAGCGGGGGTCCCGAACGAAGGAAGTGGACGTGTCGGGCGCTGATTGTTCAAGCGAGCAGTAGTCCGCAGACATGAAGCAAAGTCACTTAAGCGAGGCGACTGATTGTTGTTTCCCCGATCTTCCTCCCGGACAACAATTGATGATTGTCCGAGCGGGGGCCCGGGGCCTGACAGTGTCTGATTGGCTGATTGTTCCCGCGGCCCAGCGCGGGGGGCTGTAAATGTGGCATTGTGGGAAGTGCCATTGTGTGCTCTTCCTCCAGATGAGAGCCCATTCCCACGTGAAAGAGGTGCTGAGCAAAGGCAGGGTGGGGCCTCAGGAAGCCGAGGGGACCCGAACTCCCAAACAGCCGCAACTCCGTGAGAGTGACTGTTTGTTTGTTTGCGGCATACATGCACAAAGACATCAGGATGTCCAGAAATAAGGCAGTGCTGAGGAGGCCATTTTGATTTCCTCATGGTTCGGCACTCCAAGATCGAAACCGTTTCCCAGTTAATGCAACCGAAAGGTCTCTCAGTCCAATGATAAGAATCCAGAAGTGACTCACCTGAGACCCTCACCTGCACCACCAGGTGGGCCTCCTGCCCAGTGAGGCGGTGGTGGGCGGCGCACATGTAGGGGCCCGAGTCCTGGGTGCTCAGGTTGCTCAGCGACAACCGCAGAGAGCGCGAGAAGTCCCCTATGGACGAGTGCCCGTGCAGGAAAGTGCGCCCGCCCCAGCCGGTGCCCCCGCCACCGCCGGCGGGGTGGAGGCGGCGCCACGACAAGCTGCCGTACAGGTGCTTGTTGGCGCTGCAGGTGAGGTGCAGATCTCCGCCTTCTCTGGGGTCTTCATGCTGACTCACGGCGAAGCCTCCTGGAATGTCTGACGAGATACATATAAAGTGATTTTGAAAGTGTGGTAGTGTACTCCCAAATGGTATGCGGGGCACAGCTAGCCTGGTATAAAACTTCAGCGTCAAAAGAGGATTTGTTTCATTAAAGGAACAGAGCAGGGGTCTCAAACTCATTTTAGTCGCGGGCCAATTAGGAGGGCCGTTATGACAGTGAAACCACAAAATTATTACTTGTACACAACAAATTAATAGATTACTAGTTTTTAAATCAGTCAAGTCAATTATAATAGTTTGTTCAATTATTGTTCAAGTGAGTGTAATCGGGGTAACAAAATTATTGCAAAATCTCAACGTTATTATTTTACACATGACAATTTGACATTGTGGTTCAGATTTTAGCAAGTTGACACACATGATTTGCTTTCGCGGGCCTCATAAAATGACCTGGCATGCCGGATCTGGCCCCCCGGGCTTTGAGTTTGACACCAGTGAAATAGACCCAATTAATTAGTCTGTCCTTCAGTAATCATGATAACTAAATCCGAATATTTAAACCATCTTTCTTTAGGTAAACTTAGTCGTTGAAATGTCAATCGCGGTCAGCGTTGGGTCTCACACCGAAGCAATTTAGCTGACGTAGCAGAGCATCTTTTCGCCAAACCACCTTTTGACCACATTGCAACGATGTCGGTGAAGGAGGCTAAAAATAATCGTCATTCAAGGCTATTGGCGAAAGCTGGTGACGCGTCCGACCAAGGTGGCGAGCCCGCCGCCATTCCGACCACCTTTTTGATGTCGCCACGTCTGTTGTGGCCAGCGCGAAGACGGCGAGAAAAGATCTTTCTATTTACTTTAGCCCTTTGAAACTTCCCGTGGAAACGGCTCGAGAGCTTCCTGATGGCGGATTGTGTTTATCTTACCCGAACACCCCGAGGCCTCCCGAAATAAAGACGAGCTGCCAGTCCAAGGAAATGCGCCGCGCGGGACAGAGTGACGAGG